GCCTTTCTCTCTCATAACCAATGGCTTCCTCCAATGTGCAGTTATGTGTATGGGACATGTGAGGATATATTAGGACAAAATGTGTTATTAAAATTATGACTATGCTATTAACTGGAACTAATTTAGTTGATATGTTAACATATGGATAAGTCAGGATTTGAAACGTTATGTCTTAATTCTACTTTTTTTATATACAGCAAATTGTCCCATTATTTCATTTACTCCCTCACGCATGTGTGCGCATGAATGCTTGCATGCACAACCACACCCTCAGATGCCAGATCTTACACTAGCTACTGCCTAGTCAAAACTGCCAGAAATGTCTACGCTAACTTCAAAATGTATGAGTTCTTCATGAAATCTCAGTTCCGCAGACATTACTTGTTTAACAATTATCCAGCCAGAATGAAATATCATAACATATTTTAAGCTTGGTTTATCAAAACTAGAACACTTGTGGGTCACTAACATCCTGCTGCCCAATATAACAACAATACGTTTATGACAACACAGAGAAGAAAATAACTTTAATCAAACATGCCTGCATGTTAAATCAAGGTACTGAAATTAAAACCATACTAATATAATCTTCTCTTTTTTCCTTCTGAACAAATATTCTAAGAGCATTTTCTTTTCCAGGGCCCTTTGGTGGGTTACTATCAGGCAGACCAGGTGGGAGAAGAGCTTAAGGATGGGTGTAGAGGACAGTTAAAGACAGCTGTCCAGCCACCCTCATAAATATGGGTGAGAAAAAGATGTCACCTTCATTGAAAAGAGGATAAACAAGTAAAGTGCCTTGCAAAAGTATTCATCCCCCTTGGCGTTTGTCCTATTTTGTTGCATTACAACCTGTAATTTAAATTGATTTTTATTTGGATTTCATTTAATGGACATACACAAAATAGTCAAAATTTGTGAAGTGAAATGAAAGAAATAACTTGTTTCAAAAAATTCAAAAAAATAAATAACGGAAAAGTAGTGCGTGCATATGTATTCACCCCCTTTCCTATGAAGCCCCTAAATAAGATCTGGTGCAACCAATTACCTTCAGAAGTCACATAATTAGTTAAATAAAGTCCACCTGTGTGCAATCTAAGTGTCACATGATATGTCACATGATCTCAGTATATATATATATATATATATATATATATATATATATATATATATATATATATATACCTGTTCTGAAAGGCCCCAGAGTCTGCAACACCACTAAGCAAGGGGCACCACCAAGCAAGCGGCACCCTGAAGACCAAGGAGCTCTCCAAACAGGTCAGGGACAAAGTTGTGGAGAAGTACAGATCAGCGTTGGGTTATAAAAAAATATCAGAAACTTTGAACATCCCACGGAGGACCATTAAATCCATTATTAAAAAATTGAAAGAATATGGCACCACAACAAACCTGCCAAGAGAGGGCCACCCACCAAAACTCACGGCCCAGGCAAGGAGGGCATTAATCAGAGAAGCAACAAAGAGACCAAAGATAACCCTGAAGGAGCTGCAAAGCTCCACAGCGGAGATTGGAGTATCTGTCCATAGGACCACTTTAAGCCGTACACTCCACAGAGCTGGGCTTTAAGGAAGAGTGGCCAGAAAAAAAACATAGCTTAAAGAAAAAAATAAGCAAACACGTTTGGTGTTCGCCAAAAGACATGTGGGAGACTCCCCAAACATATGGAAGAAGGTACTCTGGTCAGATGAGACTAAAATTGAGCTTTTTGGCCATCAAGGAAAACGCTATGTCTGGCGCAAACCCAACACCTTTCATCACCCCGAGAATACCATCCCCACAGTGAAGCATGGTGGTGGCAGCATCATGCTGTGGGGATGTTTTTCACCGGCAGGGACTGGGAAACTGGTCAGAATTGAAGGAATGATGGATGGCGCTAAATACAGGGAAATTCTTGAGGGAAACCTGTTTCAGTCTTCCATAGATTTGAGACTGGGACGGAGGTTCACCTTCCAGCTGGACAATGACCCTAAGCATACTGCTAAAGCAACACTCGAGTGGTTTAAGGGGAAACATTTAAATGTCTTAGAATGGCCTAGTCAAAGCCTAGACCTCAATCCAATTGAGAATCTGTGGTATGACTTAAAGAATGCTGTACACCAGCGGAACCCATCCAACTTGAAGGAGCTGGAGCAGTTTTGCCTTGAAGAATGGGCAAAAATCCCAGTGGCTGGATGTGCCAAGCTTATTGTTACGGATACAGGTATCCTGTGTGTGTTTTTCCTCTCCTTCTGCCCTAATCACAGGTGTCCTTTATGTTCCTGATTGGTGGTCGTTGGGGTGTCCCACCTGTCCGACATCCGTTTGGCTGCTGATTGCTGAGGTGGACCAATCAGTGGACATTCCTCTGTATTGCACCACCTGTTTCTGGTTTTTCACTTACACTTCCCATTGTTTTAAAAGCCAGTCAGTTGTGTTTGTAGAGAGAGACTATTTCCTTCCGTATGTGAGTATGGATACTGTGGTGTCCTGTGTTTTGTGTACTCACTCATTTGCTGGTTACTCTGTTTGGTAACTTTGTTGTGTGTTTCTGGGAAAAGGGGGATTTAAGCAAGTTGCCCTTGGGCATACATTACCCGTAGGAAGAAAATTGTCTAAAAACACTAGTTAGACCTGAGCGGACCACCCACTGTAATTTTTGTATGATTAGCAGTAGCTTAGCGGTTCTTGAGGCAGGCAAGATCAGTTTAGTTTTTTTTTTACACTATTGTTTCATTTCTTGGGTCCTGCTCAGCCCTTCTTCCCAAACCTTTACCGTGTGTTCAAAATAAACATTTTATGTTTGACGGTAGCTTATGGTTGTCGTGTATTTTTTGTTCTCACTGTTTCCATGTCACGATTCTAATTTGCATGAATGATGTTACGGGTCTCTTTTCCATCCACCCTAGACTTTTAAAGCCACAGGGTTCGTAACACTTATAGAGACATACCCCAAGAGACTTGCAGCTGTAATTGTAAAACTGTAAAATGTGGCTCTACAAAGTATTGACTTTGGGGGGGGGGGGGGGGGGGGGGTGAATAGTTATGCACGCTCAAGTTTTCTGTTTTTTTTGTCTTATTTCTTGTTTTTTTCTAAACCAAAAATATTTTGCATCTTCAAAGTGGTAGGCATGTTGTGTAAATCAAATGTTACAAACTCCCCCAAAATCAATTTTAATTCCAGGTTGTAAGGCAACAAAATAGGAAAAATGCCAAGGGGGGGTGAATACTTTTGCAAGCCACTGTATTCCTTCATAAAATCAACAGAATGGTCCACTTTGGATAAAATGTAGAGCGCCCACAATTTAGCGCAACTTGTTTGAAACAGGTGAATTATCTTCATTTTCATGAGAATAACTGTATCCACCGACACAGTTGTAGAGAGGAAACATGTTATTGTTTTACTGTATACAACTAAATGTATTGTTTTGTATCCTACTTCAGTAACACATCAATATTTCAGGGTGTGTGGTTGGGGACTGGGACACTCAACTGATGAAGAGGGGTTGTGACATTTCTACAGTGGCATTCAAAGATGGAGTGATACCTTTATGATGGATAAATGGCTAACAATAGGCTGGACAAAACTGTAGTTATTCCCACAACAAGGCTACATCCTGGTTACATAGGCAGCATATGATCTCCCATCACCTCAGACCTCCAGGACTCAAGGCTGAAACCTAAACCACTTTCTTCATCAAATCAAAACAAACACATGTTGATTTCTGTTCCACCCCAAAAAATAAATTATGATCATAACAATGATTATTACACTGTTAAAATTAGTCAAATAAAAAAATTACAGCTTTATGATTATGTACATACTGTAAATACAATAGTTTTCTTTTATCCCAAACAACATATTATTTGGGCAAGATCTCCTATGTTACCATGACGAGGACATCTTCGGACCAAGGATATGAACGCAGACAAACTCCTATGTTAGAAAATATATTGCTTCCTGGGTATTTAAAGCTGAGGACTACTTGAAACACAAAGAACACAAATAGAGGGAATTGCTTTATGGTCCAAACTGTAGGTAGTCTTATTATAATCTATAGATAATCTGTTTCTGTCAACTGTTCCTTTTTCACAAATGCCTTTGTTGCAGTCTCCCTGTCTCTGCCTTTGTCCAAGGCTTGTTTACCTTGTAAACACTTTCTGTTGTTGTGAGTGTTGGATTCAAAGGACACACAAACAGACTGGTGATACTGGCAGCTTTGGATGTTCCTCTTTAAAACTCTTCAGAGAACCCAGATGTTCCTTTTCCACATAAATCTCTTAGTATTGTGGTACCAATGTATCATGTGTAAAACATACGGTTTGAATCTCTTCAGCAGTGGATTAAGACCTAACTCAACATTTGAAATGGCTAAACAAAACACTGTGAAGGCTCTTGCCTTGATAATTGTCCAAAACAAATATACTGTGTATACGATCCTCATCACGATTGGCTATTTCTGAAGAGGTATACAGTATAAAACTAAAACAATAAAAGCATTGAAGTGCTGCTTTGCCAGTATAAATCTTCAAACTAAATCAAGAAGAACTGAGAATGGCCTTCCACAACAAGATCTTAAAGGGGAGAAGCCCAAAACTGTGATGAGAAATCACAGAATCGGTGGTAAGTTACACAATGGCTGTTTTTCTGCCTACAAAGCAGGAGCCAATAGCAAAATAAAATAAAATAAACCTTGGACACTCTTTCCCCTACATGCTGATCAGACTCAAATGGAAGTGTTTCATTTGTGGTTGCAGCAGGCATGTTCAGTAGTGGCATTCATTCCGTACACAAGCTGTGGAGCTTCGACATGAGAGCGAAGAGACAGAGCGAGGAGAGGAGGATATGTTGCATCAGAGAGGCACAGAGTGTCACACTGGCTATTGGGTGTGATGTAATAATGTGTTATCTTCATCAGAAATGTGTGGTACAACAGAGGATTGGTGTCCACCCTCTTGTTCTCAGAGGGGGTGGTGGCGCCCTATGCAGGGTATGTCCAGAATCAGTGCAGAATAAATCTCCTGCTGCGGTCACTCTCAGTAGCCTTCCCAAAATGGACATACTGTACTGTAGACTCAGTTTGAGTCGACGTCTCGATCTCACCCTCGTGTGGGGAACCTGTGGAACCCTCTACACTTCGGTGGAGAAGAGGATGCTCTGACGCTTACTGTCCGGCGTGGGGATGGTCTCCAGCTGGAGGAAGTACAGCAACACCTGGACCTGGAGGGACAGACGGACAGTTAGAGGGACGTCAATACCAAAGAAGAGGGATGGGGAGAGGGAGAGATAGAGAGACTATATCGCCTACCTGTGACATGACCTCCAGGGACCAGCTGTCTCCCATGCTGATAGGCTGCGTGGGGTTGGTGGGGATCTTGCTGTCCTTCTCTGCAGGCCGCAGCAGGGTGGGGCCAAACACTGTGGCCAGGTTGTGGAGGGACATCTTGTTGATGCTCTCCTTGTCAGCCACCCTGTGGAGCGGGGAGAGACAGAGGGTGAATGGTGGTTCATGGTAATACACCAAGTGAAAGGACCTAATAATCACTGTATTACTCATTCAAAGAAAGAGTTTGGGATCTGCTTGTCTCTAAATGGCTGTGTTTGTCTGTACATAGCTCTATGTCTATGGTAGCTCTATGTCTGTGGTAGCTCTATGTCTGTGGTAGCTCTATGTCTGTGGTAGCTCTATGCCTGTGGTAGCTCTATGTCTGTGTAGCTCTATGCCTGTGGTAGCTCTATGCCTGTGGTAGCTCTATGTCTGTGGTAGCTCTATGTCTGTGGTAGCTCTATGTCTGTGGTAGCTCTATGTCTGTGGTAGCTCTATGCCTGTGGTAGCTCTGTGCCTGTGGTAGCTCTATGCCTGTGGTAGCTCTATGCCTGTGGTAGCTCTATGCCTGTGTGTCTGTCTGTGCGTACCTCTTCAAGTGATCGAGCAGGAAGAGGAATGTGACCAGGTTGGGTTCTGGCAGTGACAGCAGTAGATTCAGCATGCAGCTCTCTTTGGCAACGCTGTCAGACAGGGCTGCAGACAGAGAGACAGACATTCACACATTAACCTGAGTGCTAAGTTATACCATGATAATACTATAGGTATAAGTGCCTGTGACTGACCAATGCCTCCTGCAAAGTTGGGGTACAGGTCATCAGTGAAGAGGGGTTCTGGCAGTTCTCTGAAGTACAGCTTCAGAGTCCCGGCGATGGCATTCACATCCATTTCACTCATCATAACAGACACGTCTTTGTTGTCTGTGGGAAAGATGGCAACGCTCAGAAACACAGGTAGAAAGTGTAGCCATGGCAACAGAGGATGGGGAGACAGCCAGCCTCTGTCATTTCTGCCATTCACAAAAACACACTGCACTTCAGATCACTGGCAGAAAGACACTGGCTGAGGACGCAACATGCTCCCCAAAGCAAGCTGTAAATGTCATAATCAGAGAAATCACCACACACATACGTGCACACACAAATGCACACACACAAACACAAGTTCCCACACACACACACACACACACAAACACACAAAATGCTAACACTAGCACACCCACACATAGGAATTAGTAAGCCTACACAAGAAAATAAACTGGGTTAAGCACCCAAACTTGACAATGTACCCATGATTCCAAACAACGGAGCACCATAATCAGAAGTTCACCTAGGAACAGAGCAGGGTAAGACACATTGATTTTACAGTAGTCAGTCCAATAGACTTGAATTTGCAAAGGAGTGCAGAGTGATGAAACCAGCCTGATCGCTGCATTCATTACTATATTTCACTTCACGTATCAAGGCTGGTTCCACCAAGCTACAGAAAGTCCACAGAGAGTATGCCATATGCTATACTGTAGCCTATTCCCACTTCCAGGGCTTTACTCAGAGGGGGAGCCAGGGGGAACTAAGGTCTTGGTACTCACTGGTGTCGAAGGCAGCCTTCAGGGCCTGGATGTCTGTAGCCACCCCTGAGACCCGGTAGATGCCCACCTCCTCCATCCCCCTCCGCTCAATCTCCTCCAGACACTGTCTGACGATATAGGGCACCTTGGAGTGCTCCCGTCTGGCATGGGGAAATACACACACACACACACACACACACACACACACACACACACACACACACACACACACACACACACACACACACACACACACACACACACACAAACACACAGAGACACAGACACCATTAATGAATGGCTTACCATGGGGACACACACACACAGACTTACCGAAAGCTTTTTCTGTTGGATGCACAGTTGCACACTAATTGCATCTTTAGTTTTAATAGGTTCCAAAAATGTGTGAGCAATTATTAAAACAACAAAATACATTCCCACTGACAATAAGGTGTACTGCTGGCTGTCGCTGCATTGTTGTAGTATGTGAACCCAAAATATAAACACACATCAGCTGTGTACTTTATCATGTTTATTACTTTCATGGAGACAAAATGCACAACTACCGCTGTGTGTTTTGTTGTGAGTTCATGTACTACAACGCGCAGGTCGAGCTGGCACTGGCAGGCAGCTCTGTGTGGCCCAGTAGTGATGTTTGTTCTCTGGTTGGTGTTATTGGTGGCATGTTGTCTCTACAGCCTTAATTGGCGATGCTGTTTAACCTTATTAGTCCGTTCGTTACTAGCAATCCTCATTAGCGTCACTCACCAACATTGGCAACAAACCTCAACTGCTCTCTCTCCATCTCTCTCCCACACTCCCCTCTGCCTGTCTGCCCACTATACCCAGAGCCTACTGCCCATAGTGACAGTGCCCGCTGCTGCCAACTGCCCTGTGGAGCATGCTGCCAGGCCATGCCAGGTGAGGCCAGGGGAACACTGAGGGACTGTCTGAGGATGGGCACACCGCCTGCCTGGTCCCCGCTCAGTGCCCCATGCCAGGGGCCATTAAAATATTTTCTCCATAGATAGACACTACCAAAGTATGCACCATAGGAACACTCAGAGTCTGCGTAGAGTAGAGGAGAGTAGTAATCTGTGATGGCTGTAGTCACAACCACTAATACTTACAAGACCATAAAAGACCACTACCGCCTCTGTATATATCTAACTGCTGCAAAGAGGAGATCTTGTGGTGGAGGGGCATAGAAGGAAAAAAGGCATGTTAAGAGTAACAGAGTTGTTTATATTGATTTAGGACTAAAGTACAACCACTCAAGATTCAAAGACTTACACAGTATATTCAGTATACATGAACTAAGTCAACCTGTGAGGTATTTCCCTCATTTACCCTAAGCAAGTATACTGTACAGGTCTGTATTAGTGTGCTGTTTGTGTCTGGTATGATTCGAGACTAATTGTATGCCTAGGGCCTCAGAGCTTGTGTGTGTTTTCCAGTAAGGAGGGATTAGACATCATAAGGCAGTTATAGGTCAGATATGAGGGCACTGTGCTATAGGCACTGGCTCCAGGGAACATACAGTATCTCTAATCAGATCCATCCATAGACCCGCTCCCTCCAGGCCTCTCTCTCTCTCTCTCTCTCTCTCTCTCTACTCTCTCTCTCTCTCTCTCTCTCTCTCTCTCTCTCTCTCTCTCTCTCTCTCTCTCTCTCTCTCTCTCTATCTTCTCCCTCCTCCTTTCCCCTTTCCCCAGAGAGATTCTCTGGCTCTTAGATTAGGCTGTCACATTCACTTGGGTCACTTGCAGTCACCAGCTGTGTTACAGCAGGCTTTCTGCATGGTTACTGTATAGATGGCCAGGTGGTTAAGGAGTGTGTTCAGGATATACTTATATGACGGGACTATTGAACTCACTTGGTCACCGTGGAGATCTTGATTCCGAACACGCCCATGGGTTTCCGTGACGGCATCCTCTTCAGACTAAACTCTCGGCTGGTAAATTTAATAGAAAGCTTTACCTCGATCTGGAGCAATGAGAGAATGGGTGAAATGACAGTTTAAACCAGTTTACAATGACAACAGATAGTTAGTGAGTAAAGATAAGAAGCAGATCAGTTAAGAATAGGAGTTAAGATAGGTACAGTGCCTTGCAAAAGTACTCATCCCCCTTGGCGTTTTTCCTATTTTGTTGCATTACAACCTCTAATTTAAATTGATTTTTATTTGGATTTCATGTAATGCACATACACAAAATAGTCCAAATTGGTGAAGTGAAATGAAAAAAATAACTTGTTTCAAAAAATTATATAAAATAAATAACGTATTCACCCCCTTTGCTATGAAGCCCCTAAATGAGACCTTCAGAAGTCACATAATTAGTTAAATAAAGTCCACCTGTGTGCAATCTAAGTGTCACATGATCTCAGTATATATACACCTGTTCTGAAAGGCCCCAGAGTCTGCAACACCACTAAGCAAGGGGCACCACCAAGAAAGCGGCACCATGAAAACCAAGGAGCTAAAAAAATATCTGAAACTTTGAACATCCCACGGAGCACCATTAAATCCATTATTAAAAAATGGAAAGAATATGGCACCACAACAAACCTGCCAAGAGAGGGCCGCCCACCAAAACTCACGAACGTTAATCAGAGAGGCAACAAAGAGACCAAAGATAACCCTGAAGGAGCTGCAAAGCTCCACAGCTGAGATTGGAGTATCTGTCCATAGGACCACTTTAAGCCGTACACTCCACAGAGCTGGGCTTTACGGAAGAGTGGCCAGAAAATAAACATTGCTTAAAGAATAAAATAAGCAAACACGTTTGGTGTTCGCCAAAAGGCATATGGGAGACTCCCCAAACATATGGAAGAAGGTACTCTGGTCAGATGAGATTAAAATTGAGCTTTTTGTCCATCAAGGAAAAAGCTATGTCTGGCGCAAACCCAACACCTCTCATCACCCCGAGAACACCATCACCGTTTTTCATCGGCAGGGACTGGGAAACTGGTCAGAATTGAAGGAATGATGGATGGCGCTAAATACAGGGAAATTCTTGAGGGTAACCTGTTTCAGTCTTCCAGAGATGTGAGACTGGGACGGAGGTTCACCTTCCAGCAGGACAATGACCCTAAACAAACTGCTAAAGCAACACTTGAGTGGTTTAAGGGGAAACATTTAAATGTCTTGGAATGGCCTAGTCAAAGCCCAGACCTCAATCCAATTGAGAATCTGTGGTATGACTTAAAGATTGCTGTACACCAGCGGAACCCATCCAACTTGAAGAATGGGCAAGAGACTTCCAGCTGTAATTGCTGTAAAAGGTGGCTCTACAAAGTATTGCCTTTGGGAGGGGGGGGGGGGGGGTGAATAGTTATGTACACTCAAGTTTTCTGTTTTTTGTCTTATTTCTTGTTTGTTTCACAAGAAAACATATTTTGCTTCTTCAAAGTGGTAAGCATGTTGTGTAAATCAAATGATACAACCCCCCAAAAATCAATTTTAATTCCAGGTTGTAAGGCAACAAACTAGGAAAAATGCTAAGGGGAGTGAATACTTTCACAAGCCACTGTAACAACCAACATTTATAGGATCACATGGCTTTTAACGGTGCTGACACACTAACACACACACTCACCCCGGTCATGGGGATGACCGTTCTCTGCCAGTCTTTGCCTTGGAGAGTCTGGGGGTCAAGCTGGAGGTAGCAAAACAGAACAGAATCCTTGGTTAGTATACCAATACACACAGACACTAACAGACTTCTAAACACATATACAGACAAGAAAACACCAGCATTAGGCTACCTTATAATGCATCATCAATGCACACACACAGTTGCCCATTCCCCTCCCTGTATAAATTATTTGTTTCTGTCAAACTATTGGACATCAGTTGTCCTATCAGTGAGGGGGGTTACCTTGCGTCTCAGCAGGGCACTGCGTACACGCCTCCACAGCTTCGCCCCCCGCCCCTCGGTAGGTCGCCCCAGGCTGGAGACTGTCCCCTCTCCCTCTCCCTAGTGCCCTCCACTCTGACACTGCTGCAGTGTCTGGCCAACAGAGTGCAGGCCTTACCTTGTATCCCATCTCCTCTGTCCTCAACTACTTCACCTGTCATGGCTCTCTGTGTAGAGAGACTGACAAAGACTGACAAAGTCTCCAAACTAGTAAGATATTCTTTATCCAGTTGGCCTCAGTCTAGTGTGCATGTTCTGTGGTATGAGGGAGTTGGTGGTAGACGCTCCTATCAGGCCCATACTGCCCCTCCTTTTCCCCCTTCTCCTTCTCGCTTTTGTTCCTTTCTTTCTTTCTTTTCCTCCTCAGTAGAGATGTAGTCTCAGTAGGTGTGTGTCCCTGTCTCTGCGTGTAGCCTAACTCAGCCCGGTCGATAATGATCCCCAGTGGTCCAGGAAAGCTCTGTTTCACCCTACACACACCTGCCACGCTCACTCTGAGGAGTGTGTGAGGATCACAAGCTAAAGTACGTCCTCATACACACAGGTGTGGATCGCGTTCCAGAACGACCCCTTCTTTCTGCACCTCTCTCGGTCTCCTCCCCTCTCTTCTGCATTATCCCCCCTCCTCCCTCTCTTCTCCTCTCTTCTCTATGAGTTACAGCTAATCCCTCTGCTTTAGTTAGTTTCAGTGTAAACTGTAAAATGCACCATCGCCCCAATTGCCTCCAGCCAAGCCCTGGATAACCCCACCAACCCCTCTCTTCACTGGGTGTCCCCGCTCCCCCCTATTACACCCTGGCTAGCGAGCCCAGCCAAGCGCGCCACATTCCCACCCTCTATATGTGTGTTTGGATGAAAAGTTGATCTGAATCATCAGCTGGGGCTTTCATACTAAGCTAATCAGCTTTGGCAACGTGGCCTACTGCTGTGTGTGTTTCTGTGTGAACCGCCGGGGGACTTGGTCTCTCTCCATCATTTCGTATGAAGCCAGATAGAAGCTGTGTATTAGAAGACTACAGAGGAATGTAGCACATACATCAGAGGATGAGAGAACACAGTGATCCATAAGTAAACCATATTAATTAATTGACAGCACCATATTTTTGAACCACCATCACAGTTGGCATGGCAATTATCATCACAGTTACCATGGCAACCACTAGAGGGAGATGTATATCCACATCTAAGCAGTAAGCATTTCACGGTAAAGTCTACACCTGTTGTATTCGGCGCACGTGACAAATACAATTTGGTTTGATTGATATTGACAAACCAGAGAAAAACTCACAATCTGTCTCCACCACACACACACACACACACACACACACACACACACACACACCTGTCCAAGTGGGGGATGAGGGAGGAGGAGGGGAACAGGGAACAGTACAGTCGTGGTCAAATGTTTTGAGAATGACACAAGTATTGGTCTTCACAAAGTTTGCTGCTCCAGTGTTATGAGATATTTTTGTCAGATGTTACTATGGTATACTGAAGTATAATTACAAGCATTCCAAAGTGTCAAAGGCTTTTATTGACAATTACATTAAGTTTATGCAAAGAGTCAATATTTGCAGTGTTGACCCTTCTTTTTCAAGACCTCTGCAATCCGCCCTGGCATGCTGTCAATTAACTTCTGGCCCACATCCTGACTGATGGCAGCCCATTCTTGCATAATCAATGCTTGGAGTTTGTCAGAATTTGTGGGTTTTTGTTTGTCCACCCGCCTCTTGAGGATCGACCACAAGTTCTCAATGGGATTAAGATCTGGGGAGTTTCCTGGCCATGGACCCAAAATGTTGATGTTTTGTTCCATCATGCTGGAAAAGGCATTGTTCGTCACCAAATTGTTCTTGGACTGTTGGGAGAAGTTGCTCTCGGAGGATGTGTTGGTACCATGGCAAGATGGTACCAAGGCCCCGTGTAGCTCAGTTGGTAGAGCATGGCGTTTGCAACGCCAGGGTTGTGGGTTCGATTCCCACGGGGGCCAGTATGAAAATGTTTTATGCACTCACTAACTGTAAGTCTCTCTGGATAAGAGCGTCTGCTAAATGACTAAAATGTAAAATGTAAATGTACCATTCTTTATTCATGGCTGTGTTCTTAGGCAAAATTGTGAGTGAGCCCACTCCTTGGCTGAGAAGCAACCCCACACATGAATGGTCTCAGGATGCTTTACTGTTGACATGACACAGGACTGATGGTAGCGCTCACCTTGTCTTCTCCGGACAAGGTGTTTTCCCAGATGCCCCAAACAATCGGAAAGGGGATTCATCAGAGAAAATGACTTTACCCCAGTCCTCAGCAGTCCAATCCCTGTACCTTTTGCAGAATATCAGTCTGTCCCTGATGTTTTTCCTGGAGAGAAGTGGCTTCTTTGCTGCCCTTCTTGACACCAGGCCATCCTCCAAAGGTCTTCGCCTCACTGTGCGTGCAGATGCACTCACACCTGCCTGCTGCCATTCCTGAGCAAGCTCTGCACTGGTGGTACCCCGATCCCGCAGCTGAATCAACTTTAGGAGACGGTCCTGGCGCTTGCTGGACTTTCTTGGGCGCCCTGACGCCTTCTTCACAACAATTGAACCTCTCTCCTTGAAGTTCTTGATGATCCAATAAATGCTTGATTTAGGTGCAATCTTACTTGCAGCAATATCTTTGCCTGTGAAGCCCTTTTTGTGGAAAGCAATGATGACGGCACGTGTTTCCTTGCAGGTAACCATGGTTAACAGAGGAAGAACAATGATTTCAAGCCACACCCTCCTTTTAAAGCTTCCAGTCTGTTATTCTAACTCAATCAGCATGACAGAGTGATCTCCAGCCTTGTCCTCGTCAACACTCTCACCTGTGTTAACGAGAGAATCACTGACATGTGGCGCAGTGGTCTAAGGCACTGCATTGCAGTGCTAGCTGTGCCACTAGAGATCCGGCCGCGACCGGGAGACCCATGGGGCGGCGCACAATTGGCCCAGCGTCGTCCAGGGTAGGGGAGAGAATGGCCGGCAGGGATGTAGCTCAGTTGGTAGAGCATGGCATTTGCAACGCCAGGATTGTGGGTTCGATTCCCACGGGGGGCCAGTATGAAAACAAAATATATATAAATAAAAAATAAATAATGTATGCACTCACTAACTGTAAGTCGCTCTGGATAAGAGCGTCTGCTAAATGACTAAAATGTAAAAAAATGTAATGATGGCAGCTGGTCCTTTTGTGGCAGGGCTGAAATGCAGTGGAAATGTTTTTGGGGGATTAAGTTCATTGTCATGGAAAAGAGGGACTTTGCAATTACTTGCAATTCATCTGATCACTCTTCATGATATTCTGGAGTATATGCAAATTGCCATCATCAAAACTGAGGCAGCAGACTTTGTGAAAATTAGTATTTGTGTCATTCTCAAAACTTTTGACCATGACTGTACACCCCCCCAGGACGTGGACCAGATCAAAGCAGAGGCTCCATGGCTTTACTCACCTGCCTTTCCTTGAAACATGAAGGTCTATGTACACAAAGCCTACTAGGCCCTATCCAACACTCCATCCCTCAACACCCATATGCAAAAACAGATGTGGTTGCATGCACACACACGTGTGCGCGCACACACACACACACCAGATCTGGTTGCCCTTGGGTCAGACTCATCAGAAGCACATTATATTTACAGGAAGAACACATTAATTATGGACCCTGATTCAACCACAGTCAGGCTGGGCTGATACTTTACCCTCTAACATACATTTATCAAAGCAAAATAAATAAAAGCAAAGAAGAGCAGTTCACTCAAATCATAGCTCCTGATCATGACCCGATCCAGGTGTTGTCCTCGGTCTCTCTACAGCTTTTCACAGGTTATTGGATCAACTATCTGGCTATGAAGCTCAGTTGGGTGACTAGAGCTAGTCAGGGATATTTACCTATTAGATACCTTTTTGCAGGTTCTAAGTCAGAACTGTACACATCTAATCACTGTAGAAAGTCTATCCTACTACTCACATAATTAGATAATTCATTCATCAAATCAGCTGAGCACTCAGCAGTGTCTAGTCCACATTACATTTACATTTTAGTCATTTAGCAGACGCTCTTATCCAGAGCGACTTACAGTTAGTGAGTGCATACATTTTCTTTCATACTTGGACATTCAGACCACAATCTCACCACACTGTCATAACCATAACGTCATCAGGCTATGTCACTATGGTGAGGTAACAGCGTGACGGTGGTGACTCAGAGAGGTGGTGAAGGTGATGACGTACCGGGATCTGTCCTTTGCCAATGATGCGGTCGGTGCTGTCTCCGTCCTCTTTGTTCTGCTTGGTCTTGTTGTAGCTCTTCTCATAACACAGCAGCCTCAAGGTCTGAGAGCCCTCCAGGTCTATCTCAAACTCCTGCAGCAGAGAGAGAGAGACAGAGAGCGAGAGAGAGAGAGAGAGAGAGAGAGAGAGAGAGACAGAGAGCGAGACAGAGAGAGAGACAGAGAGCGAGACAGAGAGAGAGACAGAGAGCGAGACAGAGAGCGAGAGAGCGAGAGAGCGAGAGAGAGAGAGAGAGAGAGAGACAGAGAGACAGAGAGCGAGAGAGAGAGAGAGAAGAGAGAGAGACAGAGAGCGAGACAGAGAGCGAGAGAGAGAGAGAGAGAGAGAGAGAGAGTGAGAGAGAGAGAGGAGAGAGACAGAGATGAGGATGGCATGAAAGTCTCTTCCAAGAGATGCTCAATAGGGTTAATCTGTACACTCTTAGACAAAAAGGTTCCAAAAGGTTTCTTCGGCAGTCCCCATAGGACAACACTTTTTGGTTCCATGGAACCCAATAGTGTTCTACCTGGAACCAAAAGGGTTCTACCTGGAACCAAAAAGGGTTCTTCAAAGGATTATCCTATGGGGACAGCTGAAGAACCCTTTTAGGTTCTAGATAGCACCTTTTTGTTAAGAGTGTATACGTTATCAGTTAAGTGCTGTAAATGTGAACGCATTGTCAACAGCAGAAAGCACAGCTGACGGAGATTCCCATTAATTATGTAAAAGAACACTCTGCATATGGTTTCCACATGGTTAGGGGCCGCAACACATACCATTAACATTTCCACAGACTTGAGTCATCATCAGAAGCTCCTCATTAGCTAACACTATTTCCACTTTGCTGAGCAATGTAATTAAGCAGCAGAAGCAGTAGCAGTTCCTTGGGCCTGGGGGAAAATTCCTGCTGCAGACAAACAAATTCACTGATTGTGTTTTAAAACTGTTGTGTGCGCTCTCATAGCTCTCATGACGCACAAGGACTTTGTGTTTGGCTCTGACATCCAGCACGGTAATACGTGGGTGTGTTTGTGTGTGTTCATATGTGTGTGCTTTCTACCGTCACCTCCTCCTTACTGAAGAGGCCGTACGGCTTTCTGATTAAGACACTATTATGTCACAACACCAGATGTCTTGGTCTTGGTAGTACCCAGAAAATGCAGATACTGTACTCTGCATATGTCTGGTAATACCAGTAAAAGTTCTTACCTCGTTCCATTTGGGCTCTGTGGTGTAGCGATACACCCGCGTCTTGGCTTTGTTCGCAAAGTAGCCAAAGGAGTCCACCTCTAACGTGCAGTACAGATCTGAGAGGAGAAGAGGAGATACAGTCTATGACGATACCCCACATAATTAAATAGAACAGTAGAATGGACATTGGCAAAATCTGCCATTTTAGTCAGGAAAACTTCTCTAGGTGATCTCTATATGATACCCTCTGTAAATTAACTGTCATAAACGTTAAGCATACTAATGTTGATAAGAACAACGTTATAACAATGTTATTACAAAATCACATGAAATATATGTTGACGTAACCTCTATCAAATTATTTGACATTCACCAGAACAGTTGTGTTTACAGAACAGCTGTGGTCCCAGTAAGCTTAGAGTAAGGTATGTCCTAAATGGCACCCTATTCCCTATATAGTGCACTATTTTTGACCAGAGTAGTGCACTATAAAGGGAATAGGGTGCCATTTGGGGTGCATCCTAATGCCTGTGTTATTACTCCTGTAAAGTATGTACAGTATAGAGGCTCTTCTCGGGGGAGGGTCACTCACTCAAGCTCTGTTTGAGGCCGGAGGCAGAGTGGATGATTACATTCAGGAATCCATGGAGGCCAGGGGATTCATCCTCTGGAAAAACACAAGGAAGAGAGATGAAGGCTTAGAGAGGAATGGAAGATACAGGTAAACTGCCAAAATAAAGGAAACACTTGAGTAAATGAGGGATACAAAGTATACTGAAAGCAGGTGCTTTCTTGGCTGATTTCTTTTGATTTTCCCATGATGTCAAGCAAAGAGGCACTGAGTTTGAAGGTAGGCCTTGAAATACATTCACAGGTACACCTCCAATTGACTCAAATTATGTCAATTAGCCTATCAGAAGCTTCTAAAGCCATGACATAATTTTCTGGAATTTCCAAGCTGTTTAAAGGCACTGTCAACTTAGTGTATGTAAACTTCTGACCCACTGGAATTGTGATACAGTAAATTATAAGTGAAATAATCTGTCTGTAAACAATTGTTGGAAAAATTACTTGTGTCATGCACAAAGTAGATGTCCTAACCGACTTGCCAAAACTATAGTTTGTTAACAAGAAATTTGTGGAGTGGTTGAAAAACGAGTTTAAATGACTGCAACCTAAGTGTATGTAAACTTCCGACTTCAACTGTATGGGAGATTCTGGAGCGGTGCCTGAGACCGCGTTTTTCACCACCATCAACAAAACACCAAATTATGGAATTTCTCGTGGAAGAATGGTGTTTCATCCCTCCAATAGAGTTCCAGACACTTGTAGAATCTATGCCAAGGTGCATTGAAGCTGTTCTGGCTCATGGTGGCCCAACGCCCTATTAAGACACTTTATGTTGGTGTTTCCTTTATTGTGGCAGTTACCTGTAGATCCATGTTAACATTGGAATGCTCAATGAAACTATAAAGAGCCCAAAATAACTCTATTCACTTCACTCTAGATCTAAACTACACTATGAAACTAAGATGGCTCATTCATCACAAAACCCACTGATATTGCCAATTACTTTAATGCTTTTTTCATTGGCAAGACTAGAAAAGTTAGGCATGACATGCCAGCAACAAACGTTAACACTCACATCCAAGTATAACTGATCAAATTATGAAAGACAAGCATTGTCATTTTGTATTCCGTAAAGTGAGTGTGGAAGAAGTGAAAAAAGTATTGTTGTCTATCAACAATGACAAGCCACCGGGGTCTGACAACTTGGTTGGAAAATTACTGAGGATAATAGCGGACGATATTGCCACTTTTCAATCTAAAATTGTGTGCCCTCAGGCCTAGAGGGAAGCAAAAGTAATTCCGCTACCCAAGAATAGTAAAGCCCCCTTTACTGGCTCAAATATCCGACCAATCAGCCTGTTACCAACCCTTAGTAAACTTTTGGAAGAAATTGTGTTTGACCAGATACAACGCTATTTTACTGTAAACAAATTGACAACAGACTTTCAGCACGCTTATAAAGAAGGACATTCAACAAGCACAGCACTTACACAAATGACTGATGATTGGCTGAGAGAAATTGATGATAAAAAGATTGTGGGAGCTGTTTTGTTAGACTTCAGTGCGGCTTTTGACATTATCGATCATCGTCTGCTGATGGAAAAACGTATGTGTTATGGCTTCACACCCCCTGCTATATTGTGGATAAAGAATTACTTGTCTAACAGAACACAGAGGATGTTCTTTAATGGAAGCCTCTCCAACATAATCCAGGTGGTAGAATCAAGAATTCCCCAAGGCAGCTGTCTAGGCCCCTTACTTTTTTCAATCTTTACTAATGACATGCCACTGGCCTTGAGTAAAGCCAGTGTGGCTATGTATGCGGATGACTCAACACTAAACACAGCTACTACAGCGAACGAAATCACTGCAACACCTAACAAAGAGCTGCAGTTAAGTTTCAGAATGGGTGGCAAGGAATAAGTTAGTCCTAAATATTTCAAAAACTAAAAGCATTGTATTTGGGATAAATCGTTCACTAAACCATAAACCTCAACTAAATCTTGTAATAAATCATGTGGAAATTGAGCAAGTTGAGTTGACTAAACTGCTTGGAGTAACCCTGGATTGGAAACTGTCATGGTCAAAACATGTTGATACAACAGTAGCTAAAATGGGGAGAAGTCGGTCCATAATAACGCGCTGCTCTGCCTTTTTAACAACACTATCAACAAGGCAGGTCCTACAGGATCTAGTTTTGTCACACCTGGACTACTGTTCAGTTGTGTGGTCAGGTGCAACAAAGAGGGACCTCTGAAAATTACAATTGGCTCAGAACAGGGCAACAGGGCAGCAGGGCTGGCCCTTAAATGTACACGGAGAGCTAATATTAATAATATGCATGTCAATCTCTCATGGCTCAAATTGGAGGAGAGATTGACTACTAGCACACAACTCGGACACCCATAAACACCCATAAATACCCAAGAAGACATGACACCAGAGGTGTCTTCACAATCCCCAAGTCAAGAACAGACTATGTGAGTCCCACAGTACTACATAGAGCCATGGCTACATGAAACTCTATTCCAGCAGTAGAATCAGATTTTAAAAAACAGATAGAAATACACCTTATGGAACAGCGGGGACTGTAAAGAGACACACACATGATAAGACACGCACTCTATACACACATACACATGGATGTTGTATTGTAAATATGTGATAGTGGAGTACTGGCCTGAGGGAACACACTAAATGCTTTGGGTAAAGTGTTATGAAATGTAATGTCATGTAAACTGTATATAAATGTCTTAATATTGCTGGACCCAAGGAAGAGTAGTGGGGATCCTTAATAAATACAAATACAAACTAAGCTAAAAAAGAGACCAAGAACTACAAACGTACAAACAGCAAACTGTTCTGACAATAATAACTTCTATTTTTGTTCCTATTTGTCTTTGGATACAGTATTTTTTCACTTCAGAGCACATAGCTGATACATCTGACAGAAATACTCTGGGCAAGGAGTCACAGCAGAACATTGAATAACATCTGGTACCTTGGCCTTCTTTGTTGATGGTAAGTGGGATGTGGTGGACGGTCTGCAGCTTCACACAGGAGTTGGTCAACATCTGTAGCTCCATGGAGGTCAGGGAGAAGCTCTTGAAGCCTGGGAGAGGAACCATACAAACACAGGGTCAGGGTTCAGGGGTCAGAGTCACCCACACAGTATGTCACAGTACAGTGTGTGTATTAATGCTGCATGTGAACAAATATTAGTGGTATCAATTGGTTGGTTCAATTTACACAATGGACTACAGGTCAGATTATTGGGCATCTTCTATCATCTAACCTGATGCAATGGCTGCTCCTTCCTCATACACTCATTGCTTCCAGAGAGATACTGAAGAGATTTAGTTACAGTAGTATACTGAGGGCCACCTACATTTCTTCTGTTGTTCCCGGATCGTCTCCTTCCACTCAGCACGCTCGTAGTCTGATGACATCAGAAACATGTAACCCTGAAACACAGTACACACATAGAAAAAGTTATACAGCCGCACCATCGAGAGCATCCTGACTGGTTGCATCACTGCCTGGTATGGCAACTGCTCGGCCTCCGACGGCAAGGCACTACAGAGGGTAGTGCGTACGGCCCAGTACATCACTGCGGCCAAGCTTCCTGCCATCCAGGACCTCTATACCAGGCGGTGTCAGAGGAAGGCCCTAAAATTGTCAAAGACTCCATGATGAAGAGGGTGATAGTGATGATAACTTGTTGTTGTTGATGATGATGAGGATGATGAAGAGGAAGACAGGGGGCTCACCTTGCCGTTCCTGTTGTGTACTCTGAGGGCCATACTGGGGGAGGTGAGCAGCAGAAGAGACTCCTGCTCCGACAGCTTCTTCCTCAACCTGTCAATCACCTTTGACCCTTTGTTGGCTCGCTGGAGGTCACAGACAGAAGAAAATAAATGTGTCAACAGACCTGTCAACTACATTTACATACTAGAGTATGTGTGTGTGCGTATGCATGCATGCGTGTGTGTGTGTGTGTATTCATGCATGTGTGTGTGTGCGTATGCATGTGTGTGTGTGTGTGTGCGTATGCATGTGTGTGTGTGTATGCATGTGTGTGTGTGTGTGTGTGTGACGTACCTTCTCTCTCTGGATCTCACTCTTGATGTGGGAGATCTTGACCTTCATGGCGTCCAGCTCCTCGTCAGGCACCTGGGGGATGGGCAGAGGTTCAGACTCATCCACGTTCTGGAAGGTCAGGTCTGACAGAGGGATGTACCACTTGGAATCATACTGCTGACTCTTCCTGCAGAGAGAGGGGGAGGGACAGAGGGAGATACAGTTAGAGAGGAGGGAGAGAGGTAAAGAGAGAGGGAGAGAGAGAGAGAGAGAGGGTAGAGTGAGAAAGTGATATGATTAGAAATCCTAGTATCCTGTAGACAGACATGTCCTGGAATATGTTAGAAGAAAAAGAAAACAAAAGAGTTCAACATTGACAGAACGATGGGAAGTCTCTTTTACCCTCCAATCTGTTTCTTGAGCTTGGCGCAGAGCAGCAGGTCGGTGAAGAGGAAAACATGGCGGAGCTTCCTGGCTCCCTCCACCAGCTCCACCATGAAGCTGTCCTTCAGCAGCTGGCGGTTCTACAAGACCACACAATTCGGCCATCAGAACAATCTATACATCAGCTAATCAAACAATACGATCAACTTCCTAATTTGTATTGGTTAAGACACTGTGGTGTGTGTGTGTGTGGGGGGGGGGCTCTTATGCCACCATGAACCAGAAGGGGGCAGTGACGTTTTTCCACACACAGCTGTACATTTACAGCTCTGGCTATAAAATAAAACGGCATGCATCAGGAGAGGGCCAATGTTACAACACTGTTCTATATGCTGTCCTTGTCTTACCTCATGAAGGCATAGATACTATAGGAGGTACATTTCTGAACAGGTCCAGCAAGTCTACAGCATGTGAGGTGGATATTTTAAGTAAAGCATACATAACTAAAGCATACCTAAGCCCAATATAAGGAGGGTATATCTGAAAAAAGCACATAGTTTATGTGAGGACATTACAGATTTACTGCACTCCCTACAATGAATGGTTTACTAAAGCTAGGCCTGAGGAGGCACACAAGCAATCCCCCCCCCCCCCCCACACCCTCCTCCCCTATGTTACTGTGTGTGTGAGTCATCCACGCTCACACACACCTAACAGGGTCTCCCCCGGCAAAGTGCAGGGTTGTTGCTGTACCAGTCAGTGTGTATGGACCCTCTTAAAGGGTATGTCACACAATGGCACAGAGTCTCTGATCC